CGCCCGCCATCTTGGGTAGGTCGGCGCTGGGGAGGGAGGGAGGAGCTGAGAGAGCGTTGGCAGCGGTGGACTTGCTTCCTCAGCCTCGGTTTGGGGCGGTCCTGGAGTGCGGCTTCGGGCGTCCTGCCCAGCCGCGCCTCGGCGCTGGAAACCGCTCTTTGGTTATTGTTTTCCTGTAGGAGCGGCGATCTCTAAGCGTGGGAACCGGTGGGAGATAAAAGCAGTCGAGTAGGTGGAGCTTATGTCGAAGTGAGAAGATTTTTTAAAAAACAAATCCTTGCTTTTAAAGATTATTTCCAGTGGTGTAAGAGAGTTGGGAAACAAAAGTCAGGACTTCGAACTACCTACGGGAAGAGAGGCGTTGCTTTTATCCTAAGTCTCACAGCTGTGGAAGATTCAGAATGGGAAATGATGGATGAGGGCGGCGCCATCCGCAGAGGCTACATTGCGGGTCACGGGTGGAAAGAAGAGGGAAATAACATTTTACTCAACCTATTATACTGTATACGAAATACCTGTTCAAGTGAAATCTGTGCACATTTTTTTTTTTCGCTTTTCAAAGTTCTCGTAAGTCTTGGAAAACAGTATATATAGTTTGAGTACAGATCAGTTAAATTTGGGGGCGCTGGATGTGAGGGGCTGACAGCCGCTTGTTCCTGTGACTATGATAATAGGAAGAACAGGTGTAAGCTGGAGGTCTAGGTTGAACACGAAAAGCTTCGGCATCGCCTGGGGCTTATTAGAATCAGTTTTAACATTAATCCTTGTCAAGGGACAGGGTCCTGTGCCTATCCTCAGGAAGGGCTTCCCAGGCCCAGTGAAGTTACTCAGACCTGAGTAAGCCTGATGTAGGGGCGAAATTAAAGAAGTGATTTTACCAAACAAAATATCCCCTCGTATCAAAAGGAACACAGTGGTGCTCTTTTGTAAGACTTAAAAGTCTCACTTCCACTCCGAGGAGCATGAACAGCTGAAAGGCCTCCACGATGCTGAGTCCTATAGCCCAAGGAGGGCTCCGGACGCAAGACCCAGGGCCTTACCTCTGGGAGCCATGAACAGCCAAAAGGGCCTCCACTGCTGGGACCTATAGCTCAGCGAGGCTCTGGGAGCTCGATGGAGGAACGAGAGTCACCCAGGAAGGAACACACCAGGCTAGATGGTAAACAGACCTTTATTAGTCTGGCCAGACAGCACTCTCAGAACCAAGTAACTGGCTCAGAGAGGCGCCAGCTCAGGGGTTTGCACAGTTTTTAAAGACAAGGGGTGTGGATTGCAAGCACAGCAAGTGGGCAGGGGGTCAAGGGTCAAGGTTCTGCTGATTTGAGCTGGTGGTCAGTAGTCACACATCGATGATTAACAGATACCTATAGGATGTTTCAGAGGCCACCAAGACATTCAGGATGAGCAAACAGTTCGACAACTTGGGGTCTCTATGTACGGAACAGATATTATCTCATAGTCTAGAACCACTAATTTACACGTTAATCATGATGCAGACTTCAAACAGTACAAGATCGCCTTACATTCCTAAGCCTAAGCCAGGGTTTGAACAAAGGTCGGGCTATGGCTACAATGGTAGGGGGTTAGAGCACTGTCTCCTAGGCCCTTTGTCATTTAGCATGGGTTTGTAATTCAGGTCTTACACTTTAAATTACTGAGGGCAGTTCTTGGAATTTACAAGTTCTGGGGTCCAGAGTTTAGGAACCTATTTTTGAGTCTGGCACTATCTTAAAGGCCAAGCAGCCCATGGATTGTGATCTCAACTGCTTTTCTATGAGATCCACCAGGCTAGCTCTGTCATCATCCAGATCTCAGCTCAGATTAATTCTAGGCGTTTTCTGGCTATTATTTCTGTACTCTCATCACACATTAGAAGGCTTCAGTGTCTTCACAGTACTTAGTGCTTCTATTGTCAGGTTTGCCTGACTCTGCTTGATAGTGATAGGAAAAATAGCAAAAACCTATTAAATGTCACAATGTAAAAAACCCTTTGCCGTTTGCTTTGTTTAGTTCAGGTTCAACAGGCACAGGAGACACCTAGTCTCACTCAAAAGTTTTATAAAAAGGACCATTGTTAACTTTGCTGATCAGACACATCCCCTTCCCCTGGGCTAAAATAACTAGATGAATTTTAAAGGTAACCTTCCCTAAGGAAGGGCTACATCTGGGTTAAAATACAGTCTTGCCACCATGTTTTTAAATATCAGCAATGTGATCTGTAAAAATGAAACATAACCACCTGAATGAGATCAAGGCTCTAAAACCCTGTAAGAGTTGTAGCCCAGTACTAGATCAGTCCAGACACTCTTTATGTGGGATTGATCTGTCGACAAATCTTATTTTACTTCCATTCTGCCACCTGTGTCTTACTGATTCCTTCCATAACAATAGAATGTAAACTCCATAACATAGTCTCTTACACTTTACTGTATCCCCAGGGTCTTTTTTTTTTTTTTTTTTTTTGGTATTGGGGATCGAACTTGGGTCCTTGAGCTTGCAAGGTAGGCCGCGGAACCACTGAGCTAAATCCCCAGCCCCCAACTATGTATTGTGATCTTATGTATAAAGTACTATTCTAGATGTTGAGATTCCAACTGAACAAAATGCCAAAAATCCTTGCCTCTGGGTTATTTCAGATGTATTTTGGTGGAGACATGGAAACAATGGAGTTGTTAAATACTACAGAGAACATATGGGTAGGTTAAGTGGAATCTAGTCTTGGGATAAGAAAGGGATTGCAGAATTTAACAGGATTCTTGAGGATGTGAAAGAGATGGGGTTAGGTATGTGGCTAGAGGGGGTAGGTAGTGGAAAGGCTCTAAGGCAAGACAGTATCTTGGATGGTCTGGGCGATGTCAAATGGCAGAGGAAGTGATCAAGGGGAGGGATAAAATAGGAAACCACTAAACAACTTCAAGTAGGAGTGGACATGTCTTTGTGGTTGAGTTAGAACTGCTGTATGGAATTCAGTGTTAATGGCTGGGAGATCAAGTAGAATATTAAGTGCGAGGCAAGAAATGATAGTCTGGCAGTTCTTAGCATACAGATGGTATTTAAAGCCATAGGATTGGGAATGCAGTTATCTTGTCCTGATCCACTTAATTAAACTTTGGCTTTTGAACATTTTTAACCATCTTTAGTACTTCAGGAAGACTTTTTTTTGGTACCAGGGATCTAACTTGGGTCCTCGCCCTTGCGAGGCAGGTGGCAGCACCCCTGAGCTAAATCCTTGGCCCAGGAAGACTTTTTCTAGGTACCGGGCATTGAACTTGGGACCTTGCGATTGTGAGGCAGGTGGTGGAACCATTGAGCTGAATCCCCGGCCCCCAGGAAGACTTTTTAATAAAGGCTAGTAGTAAGTTCTAGCTTGCTTTAACTTTACTTAAGGATGGAAATGATTTATTTCATGAAGATTTGGTAAATATCTGATGTTCTGCTTTGATTAAAAATAACCAAATACTTTTTTTTACCCCAGAAGACTATTAGCTCATAAAAATGACAATTTATAAAAATAAACCCAAAAGAGTTAATTTGCAGGACTGTATAAAGAATGAATTCCTTGAAGGCTGAGCACTGTCTTGTTATATATTTTCAAGGTCTAATACAATTCTTGGAACATGAGAAACAATCAATAAATGTTAATAAATATTCAACAACCTGAAGTTATAACACATCAAGACGCAAAACTACAAAAGGAAATTTATTTCAAAAGCATAAAGGAACATTTACATTTAAAGTGATAAACAGGTGTCTTGCAAAAGAAAGGAAATCCATGGCATGAAGTTTTTCATTTTCATTTTTGAAGGAAAAACCCAAAAAAAACAACAAAAAAAAACCCACCTAACTATTGCCCTTAAGAAAGGGATGGAGAACAATGCACTGTTAAGGGAAGAAAAAGTGTTAAATCAGTATCAAACTTGAGAAAGTCAAGTCACTTTTGTTCGGCTTTAGGTTTACAAATATGCTTAAAAAAGAGGACAAAATTACACTTAATGTTCAAATTTATATAGCTGGAGATCCAACATGGTTTTTGTACTTGAAATGGCTTTTAAGTCACTGGCTGATCTGTCTCAGGTCCAGAGCAGCTAGCAGAAGTTCTCAAATGTTAATTCCATGTTCCTGTGTCTATTCAGGTTCCAAGGGAGCTTAGGTGCAGCTCAGTCTTTTGGAATGTTTATAGAAATTATTGCCGTCACTCCATAGTCAAGCTGACCAACTTCTTATGCTCACTTGTATCATTCTAGCCTTTAAGAAATATTTTCCTTATAGACATGTGGGTTTTGTTTTTTTCCCAGTGTAGAAGTAATGGTAATGGAGACACCTGCATTGGAATCACAAACTAATCCTCAAAAATTACATCAAACTAGTAGAAATGTCATTTGGGCATCTGAGTTTAATAGCAAATTTGGGAAAAGAAAGTTAACTATGAAAAAAAAAAAAGAAAAAAATAAATGCAGAGCAATGGGTCTATGCTACCAAAAATGCCCATGACATTAGACACTCCACAAACCTCCCATCTGTCATTTTAACCTAAGGATTCTATTTGCTAACTTATACAATAATTTGGTTAACCTGAGAAGTTAAAAGTCTTAAAAGTGGCAAAAGCAAACAGAGCCTCCTTTACTTATTGGTACTATGTTATCAGGTCACTTTTCCTGGGTAGCCCTGGTTATTAAATCTTCAAATCCTAAATTATACTATCTCATCCTGTAGAAACCTATATATATATCAGATTTGGCTGTATTTCACCAACAAGGATCTCCAAATTTCTCTCTGAAGATACAGCCATTGCTTTAGTTTTAAATAACAATAATCATGTAAGTGCAACTGACTCAAAACCCTATGGGGAGCAAAAACCTAGGAGGTAATAAGTCAGTAATGTACTCAACCTCAAAAGGATAATCACTGTGTCAAAGACTACCCGTTCTTGCAATTTAAAATATTTGTTGTGTACTCAAGTTCCAGAGCATGCACATATATATGTGTGTCTACATACACACACATACATACATACAGATATATGCTTATTATACATACACATTTCTATTCAAATAGTAAGAGCCCATATTCAAAAGCTGTATCCCAATATATGGAGAAGAGTAAAGGAAGCAGTGCAAAGCAATTTACTTTCTCCTAAAAATGTACTGTCACTTCTACATTTTAAGGAAGTTGGTTCTATTATGACAATAGTAGGGAATGCTGCACAATTGACTAGCAGCTTTATTAAAATAACAAGGAAAATAAAATGTTGAGATTTACCATTACTTTTCTCCATACATTGGGTAAAAAAACTAACATGGGAGAATAAAATCAGTAACCTTTCAAAACTGATGATCTTTACCAGATTACCAGAACTAGACTTAGTTTCATTACATTTTTAGACTCAAACTGCTCTCAATAACAAATTACCAAGATGTTTTAAAAGTAAAAGATTTACAATATGAAGTCCGAATAATGATATTGCAAAAACAAGATTGAGACAAAGCCTCCAAAAATATTGTGGTTTTACCTCAGACACACCATGGTCTGTTACAAAAGTAGATCATACATACAAAGGTATAAAGAACATTAAGTTTTCAACTGAAGGCAGCAGTCCTTTTAAAGGGACATCCCCGGCAATCCAATGAGTAGTAGTAGAATTTACGTTTATTAAGCTCATGACAGTGCTTGAAAAATGTGATGTCTTATTCAGTAGAGTCTTCCTCGACTACGATTTCCTCGTGTTCCCCAACCTCGGCCACCTCTACTTCCCCTGAAGGCTCCTCTCTGCTCTACGAAACAGCGAACAAGGGTTTAGGTCTTGCTCAGGATTTCATGTATAGCAAACAAAAGAAATACAGCTTTTAGCTCTGAAAGTAGCAGTAGACCCTAAAAAAGCAACACTGGCATTCTAATCCAGCTACAAATTAATTTTGTACATAAAACCAAGCCAACATTTATAATGAAGCATACATAGCAAGGAATATTGCAAGGTGCTAAATATGTACATTCACGTACAGGCTCAATGAAGCACATTCTGTCAACAAAGCTGCTTCAGGTGACAATGTTGGAATGTTATTTTGGTGTCTATCACTACCAAAGAAATAAACTATATACATTTCTGTACTTAGTATTCAATCAATAAAGCCATTGCTCTTTGAAAGTGACATAGATGAGAAATATCTTGAATTACCAATGATCAGTTTTGAAAAGAAGCGAAAAATGTACCCATCAAATGCAACCAATAAGGCAATTTCTTTTGATGACAGTATTTAAAGGACTTGGACTTACATAAATCTAGATATCAAGGAAGATTTTTTCACAGCTCTCAGCCATGTGAACTTCCTGAAGTGCTGCTAAAACAGTGTAAATGTAGAGCAGACATACATACGTCCACAGTGTTTCAGTTAACGATAGACACTGTATCTTTTACTGAAAAAATCATGTCCTTTGTATCGCATGATAGAACAAGAGTCAGTAACTTGTATAGTCCCAGAGAAATATTCCTTAGAATCATCTTTCCAGTGAAGAAAATTAACTGAAATTATAAGCAAGGCAGGACTTTTCATCATAGGTAAATGAAATTACAGTGAACTTTCAAACTTCTGCATTGAAGCAATCTTATTAGCAGTAATAAAGAGATTGGTTTTGCTCTTTTCAATTCACAATCTTGGTAACCTGAAAGTATCTTTTAAATAAATTGTACAATGGATTTTTTCTGCCATTGTTCCTCATCAGGGTGATGTTCTGATGTCTTTCTCCCCAGAAGGAAAAGTAATTGAACTCCGAGACAGAACACTAACTAGATATACCTTTCTCTAGTTAGGCCAACATTTTTCTGTGTGACACAATGAAACCTGATTTAAATGTAAAGTTACTACTTGTGCAATGACACTTTTTGTAAGTGAGGTGGTATGCAGACCATTTTAAAATGAAGCCATGTTTGTTATTCTAGGGAATACATTAAAGGTGACACTGTATTTCTTGATTCTTTATTTTGGTGTCTATCACTACTAAAGATAGTTAAACTATACAACTTTTTATACTTAGTATGGAATTAACAAAAAGCCATTTGTTTTTAAAAGGTACTGGCCACATATGAAAAATATTTTAAACTATCAATGATCAACTGTGGAAAAAAATCAGCAGTGGTGTATCTAAGGGCAAGAGGTCCTCAGTGATGAACATGGTGAACTGTAGCTTTTAGGGGGCTGTAATTCCTGCATTTTATAATTTGCACCCCAGCCCCTTTTTTTGTGGTACTAGACAATGAACCCAGAGTCTTGCACTTTAGACAAGTGCTTTACCGAGACCTTTTTATTTTGAGACAAGGTTCATTAAGTTGTCCAAATTGGCCTCAAACTCATGATCCTCTTGCCTCAGCTTCCTTAGTAGCTGGGATTAAAAGCACAGGCCACCACACTTGGCCAAAATACTCTTTATTATTTTTATCGTGTGTACTTCAGGTATACAACATATTTGTTTATTTATTTATTTTAGCAGTACTTAGAATCAAAGCTGGGGGCATGGCCACATGCTAGATAAGGATTCTATCAGATCTACACTCCCAGGCCATAAAATCATTTCCCTGCTTTTTTTTTTTTTTTTTTTAACATCAACACACTTAACAAACTAACACCTTCACAGAATTATTAGCTTTAATAATAGATATTAAAAACATATTTAAAAAAAACCTTTTCCATGTCCTGTCACGTAGATAATGAGTTTTGGAACATAAATCATCATGAAAACTTAGAATACGTGGCCTAGCCAGATAAGAAAACAATTCCCTTAGGTACTGTCAAAGATCTTGATTGCTTTCATTTATTATACATCTTCCCACTGAGATAACTGCTCATTTTAGGAATGAATTGTTATACACCACATTAAATCATACAAATAACAAAGTACAGTACCTGGTGCAATGAAGTAAAACAGAATCATGTTCACTTATAAATGTTTACACATATATTCTTATTTGAAGCTCATAAGTACCTGTGTTTCCCTTACTTTTCAGATAAGAGGTAAAGAAATACACATTTATATATTGGTATGTAAATGAGAGTTCAGAGGTATCTTCTAAACTTGTCTCCAAGTGAGTAAACTTGGGTATAAGGGTTTATTTTCCTAGTATCAAACTGGCTTTTTCCAAACTGCTCAGACAGAAATCCAGCTATTCATCTTGAATCATCTTTATCTTCAAAATGGAATTATAGGGCCAGGGATTTAGCTCAGTGGTTCTGCCGCCTGCTTCGCAAGAGCAAGGTCCTGAGTTCGATCCCCGGTACCAGAAAAATAAATAAATAAATAAATACAAATAAATAAATAAATGGCAATTATAGAGGGTACATGGTCAGAATATACCTTTTTTTCCTTAATAAATACTGTAGAATTAATTGTGAGTGGTAATCAGGACCGCAAGCATGTCTGGTTGCTGACATTACTAAACTTTTGTCTTTCTAAACAAAATAAGGAACTGAGCTATTTCTTTTCATTCTTTTAAAAAAGGATCCATGAGTCTGAAAAGCCAGTAAGAAACAAACTTGACTTCAGATTCCACAGCCCTGGGAGCAAATGGGTAGGTGGGAAGCAGGACTGTACTCTGGGAAAGGGACAGTCTGAAAAAGAACATATTTTTGCTTAATGGTGTGCTTGTATATGTGACCCTTATGACTTCTCTCTTTGTATGAGCTACAGAAAATAAAAGGATAAGAACAGGCTGACAAGATCCAAGAAAGATTCTTAAGACATTTGTCAGAAGATATACTCATCCCTGAGGTAGAACGCACAAGTGGTTGGCCTTGAAGCTAGAATTGGGAAAAGAAATGGATGATTAAAAAAAAAAAAAGAAAAAAAGAAATAGATGATTCATCCCAACTTCCTTTCTTGTTAGTACCTCTGAGTACAAGAGGCATTATTTTTCCTAAAAAGCATTTTTGTTGGTGGTGTTTTTTGAGACATGGTCTCACTGTGTAGTCCGGGTTAGCTTGAGATTGATATGTAGTCCAGGCTGGCCCTGAACTCGAGATCCTCCTGTCTCCTAATTGTTGGGATTACAGGTGTCTACCACCATGTCTGAGAAGTTCAGTGTTGCATGCTCAATTCAGGAAGACTACAAGGGTTAAGAGAAATGATAGAAATTGTTTCCCTAGTAGATCTAGTTCCTAAGCTAACTCAAGTCAACTCACAGAGCTGGGATGCTGTATGGAATTAATAACTGAAATCAAGTACAACCCAATTTCTACCTAAGCTCATGCTGCTTATACCCAAACGGGAACGCTCACCATAATTAAAGTTGCCCAAATTGCTGCTATATTTCCCACTGGGAGGGTTATAAATCTGCCTGGCATCCCTTTTTGGTCCTGCTGGCGATTTCTTGGGTGGTGAACCTGAAGTTGCATCTTCACTGGCTCTCTTTTGCCTACAATGGTGGAAAGAACAAGAATTAAAAGGTTCTATGATGCCAAAAGCTATCAGTACATTTATAACTTAGCATGTTAGCTGTAAAAGACATCCTAAAGACAGCCACATCAGAAAAAATGAGATAATGTTTCCATGTCATCAAATTAACTGTGGCGTGGTTATGCAGATATTGTCAGAAGGCATTCACAAGACTTTTTATATTTTTGAGATAGCATCTTGCCAGGTTGCCAGGCTGTCTTCAAGCTTGCAACAGTGCCTTAGCTTCCTGAGTAACCAGGATTACAGCATGCGCCACCACACCTGGCAAATGGTTAGGTGTATAGACTTACATGCCACAGACTCATTTTACGGAACTGTCAGAAAAGTCTAGTTATGTTACAGGGGTACCAAGCACCCTGAGTTCCAAGGTTTTATTCCACCAGTTTATTTAAAAAATACTAGAATTAGAATTTGTATTTTAGTTGTGCTTCTAACCGTCACATTTTAACATTTTCTTGAGAATCATGTAACTAGTAATACACTCTTAAAGTGACAAGTGAATTCAGATTTTGGTAACTCTCAAATCCCTTTGAAATGTATTTCTTACCCAATCTCAACCTTCTGTACAGGTTTCCAGGATAAGGTTACTGTGCTTTTATAAGAAGGAGGAATGTGGAAGAGATCCTAGAGAGACAAAATCAGACAATTTTCTAACGTAACGTATCTGTTGTCAGATGGCAAGTAGAGAGAGATGTATTAAAGATTACTTCTGTTTGAGGCCCCAGGTTCAATACCCAGCACCACCAAAATGAAAAAAGACCAAAAGATGTTTTAAGAGAAGCAGCTTTATCTTCCTTGTGCTGGTAATTAAATGAAAACTGGAACAATTTTGTTTACAAAACACACCAATTAACCAAATAACTTAATTATGTGCACCTCACTTAAACTGTAGCTGATTTTTTCCCGAAGTTCTTTCACATTTAAAGATAAAACACCAATAGTTACCAGCGTTAGTAACCAAACTTAATTTTTTTTTTTTTCAAAACAAATGCAATCATGGAGATGCTTTAAGGAAAACACAATGGTGCACTCTGCATTTACTTTTGCAAAATTTTAAGTGGCTCAAGACTAGAACAAAATTAGTTTTTATTCATCATATCCTCCTCGCAAATCTACAGATTATCCTCATAAGGTTGAATACTAACTTAATGTAGGAATGCAAACTCCTGCTAAATTTAAATGTTAAAGTAATCCAGAATTGAAATAATCTCACTTTGTAACTTCCTCAAAACTATGAATGAATTACTAATCACACTCTTAAGCTTTTCATCAAACAGTTCTTAAATATTACCTCCACCCATTTAAAACTGAGGCCCGGTATACCAGGTAAATGGCCAACAGAATGCGCTTTGATTAAAAAAGCTTGAAATTACCAGCTGCAGGGATTTGGCATATAGTTATGTTACTAGCCGAGAAAGGGATCACATAAACAGGAAAGCATAAAGCTTCAATCTCAAACATTTTAAATCTCAAGTAAAAATAGGAAATTGCAGTAAAATTTGGGAATTGACAGATAAAGGTAGATTGTAGAACTAGATGAACCTGCCTCAGGAGAAACTAAAGATTATGAGAAACACCAAGAATGGTCTAAAGCACACCAGTTTTTCCTGTGCTTTCCCTAAAACAGAAAAACTGACTACATCTATCACACATTCCTATCCAATTTAAAAAATATTTCTGGATCTTCTGGTGAGACAACCTACACACAGGATCCAAACACCATTCATCTTTGTTTTCTATACAACTTACTAGTCTCCTTTAGATCACTTACAGTTTCATAAGAGCAAACTGTCATGCACATGCATTAGATCGTATTGGCTCAGAAAATTCTCAACGTAATTTGCATTACTACTTGAAATAGTCAAATCTCATTTTAACACACGGATTTACTGTTGTTGAGACTGTTATATATGTTTAAGATCATTAATAAACGATGGATATTATAAAATTTCCTTAGGACATGTGTCAGTTTTCTCACCTCTTCTGTTTTTAATGCTGTTCTACTTTTCTGCTTGGCAATATGACATTCATTACTCAATCTCTAATTCACTGTCATGGTCTTCGGATGCTTCCTTTCACTCTTCTAATAAAAACCAACTAGTCCACAGGATTTTAACCAGATTAGCTTTTGTTTGTTTGTTTGTTTGTTTGAGACAGGGTCTCACTATGTAGTGAGACTGACCTGGAACTCACTGTAGCCCAGGCTGGTCTCGCACAGTGATCCTCCTGCCTCAGCCTCCTGAGTGCTGGGATTACAGGCATGCGCCACCACGACCAGCTTAACCAGTTTAGCTTTAAGGCATACTTACAGCAGATACACCTATACTTGAGAAAAGTAAATACAACTAGAGGATTAATTATGACTAATAGTAAGGTACTACCTAGCCTATAGGACACTGACTCTGTGACACAGGAAAGTTTACAGAAAAACAATCCCTAAGAAATTCCACTTATATAGCACATGTTAATAACTCTTTGAGTACACAATACAGGATATTACTGTACTGGCCATTCAAAAGGACTTAAAAGCATTAAGATAACCCAAGTTAAATGATCAAGATGTGTTATGAATATGTAACATATCCCCAAGCTGAGTGTAATCACTGTGTACTGAACAAATAAGAAACAAGATACATCATGTAAAGTTACAAGATCCCAATGATGAATGTAACTGTACTGTATACCTAAAATGTACCAATAAAGAAAAATAAAAAATAAAAGATCTGAGATTTTGGCAGGATATTTGAAGTCTGAACACACAAAACCTTAAAGAAAAAACCAAAACACCATGTACTGAAAATGTTACTACTAACTAATGATCTTAAAAAAAGACTGCCTGAATAAGGCACACGTGTAAATACCGAATAGTTTCTCTGGTGTGAAAAATCTGCAATAATACAGAAGATCCTAATAAGATTACTGACATTCCCAGAAATGGGAAGAAAGGAGCTAAAGGTGTAGGGAAGGCGGGATGGGTAGGGGAAGGGGAATAAGGGAAAAGAAAAAAATGTGAGATAATGAAAAGATGAAAATAAAGTGTTTGTAGATGGGGAGGGGAGGAGGGGGTGAACGGAGGGCAGGGACAAGGGGAAAAAATGAGAACCAAGACTTGTCATGTAGAGGTACAAGATCCCAACAATGAATGTAACTGTACTGTATCCCTAAAATGTACCAATAAACTCAAAGCTAAAAAACAAAAACAAAAACAAAACAAAACGAAAAAAAAAAGACTGCCTGAATTTCTGTCCCTGAAATTTGAGTGTACATCTATCTGCTCCAATGTTTTGGTCCAGAGGAGATATGCTTGCCTCCTAACTGCTTGCAAAACTTGAATACAACAACGTGTGACTTTGTGACAGCTGCAGGCATATGGTATTATGAAAAGCATAAAACCTCAAAATGCCAACTGCTGGGCACAAATGGCATTTCTCCTTAAATACTCCCATTATGGATTTAAAACCACATGGAAAACCTTGCATTGACTTTCTAGCTATCAGGGAGGGTTAGGTAAGTAAGTAAAAAGTCAAGACTTACCTTGATTAAAACATTGATATTATTTGTTATTTTCAATGCAACAACTTTAATCTTGTTCTGCAAAGGGAAAACAAAACTGAATTAAAAGGCCAAGGGCTTCTACGTGCATATGTTCCTTCTGACATTAAACTAAACTTCTCTTTCAGAATCACTTCTATGGGTAGAGAACTTCTTGGTTTAAATCTCTCTAATACTTAATTTGTTTCTTGACTACATAATTCTAGAGATGGCAAAAAAGCCAATCATCTATGTTGCCTCAATAGGTTAAAACATTAAAATGAAATCTACAATTTACCTGAAAATCATATAAGGCATAGCTACACACAGGAGCTGTTTAAAAGAAATTAGTTTCTAAGTTACAAGACATAATGAAAACTCAAAGTATTTCATTAGGACTGGATTTAATTTTCAGACTGATTGAATTAGGTGAGATCAGGGAAAACCAAACTTCCCAATGCAAACCTACACAGTCTGATAGAAATTGGCAATTTATGAGTTGTGAGCTGCTATTCTTACCTCTTCCGTTTTTAAGGCCTCCCCTGTTTTACCCTGGAGAGCCAAGCGAAGTTGTCGGATATAAACCTGCAAGCCCCGGGCAAAGTACTGCAGCCTAAAGGAGAAAGTATTTACTCAGCAAATCACTTCAATTTTGCTTTTAATCTTCTAATACAGCAAAACGACTCTAAGTACATGACAAAGAATATTGTCTTGAGTTACGTATTTTGATTATCTCCACAAGTTAAAAATCACTCCCTTCAGCACAGTAGAGGGTAGTGAACAGGTGAAACTGTGGCCCCAACACTTTAGATTAAGGATGTGAAACCATCAATGGGATGGCTCAAAATAAAGTGTCTCTCTTTTTTGAGAACTAGGGATTGAACCCACTGTCTCCGCACTGAGCTACATTCCCAGCCCTTTTTAATTTCTTTGAGACAGGGTCTCTCTTAAGTTGCTAAGTTGCCCAAGCTGAGCTTGACCTTGAGGTCCTTCTGCCCCTGTCTCCCAGAGTGCTGGGATTACGGCATGTGTTACGATGCCTGGCAATACTGGCAATACAAGTGTCTCGCATTAGTTTCTCTAGTGCTGCTCTTTCGGTAACGTAGTCAGATGTATTAGCAACAGTGGTCACAGGTGACTGAACACCTACACCGTGTCAGAACTGTGCTAAAAGCTTCAGTCACTGTCTCATTTAAACCCCAGATCTCTATGAGGTAGGCACTGTTACCGTTCACATTTAATAAATGAGCAAAATCTGAGGGGATTAAAGAGATTAGAAAAACCTATCCATAATCATAAAGAAAAAAGGAGTCCAATTCTTTGAAAGTTCAGTTCTCCCATGGATTTGTTGTGCCACATCCATCACTTGCTACCTGCATGCCTGTTCTGGATGCTCCATTCTATTCCACTGTGTAAGACAGGGTGGGGGAGATGCCCTCGTAAAACACAACCAGAACCCGGGGAAGATTTGAGATGGTAATCGCTTTTGATAAAGACTGAACCACCTCAATCATGTATCACCTGATTTTGAAATCTTTGAGCTTTTCTGCATTCAGTTTGGCTGTTAAGAAATCTGGAAGTTTTCGGCCCAACTGATGAAAACTGTACAACAAACATTCCACGTAACTGAACTGCAACTTGGGCTCTTCATTACCAGCATTCTCCCCATTTTCTGCTTCTTCTGGTGGAAGAGGCATGTACTCCTAAGAGACAGCAGCAGTAGAGACGGGTTGAAATCTGGTGTAAACACTGATTATAAACAGATACGTAACTGTAAGGTACGCTTTTAAGACACAGAACATTACAAACTACCCCAAAAGGCAACTTAAGTAAGACTACTGTTTTACCTACTGAATGAATCAATGCTCTACCATGCCAAGTCTACTTACTAAACCATGTTACAGATGTGACTACAAATAACAAAAATGAAAGCAGCTAACATCAAGCACTTACAAAGATTAAAGAATTAAAACTAAGAGCCAGGATTCAATCTGGATTTGACATTTAAAGTTGATATTCTTAACAATTCTAAAAACCTTTTCTGAACATGAACCCATTCTGCGTTAAGTACTGACTCTCTACACTGAAGTGTGACCACGGCCATTCAGCATTGGTGGTATTATATCCCAAATGTGTCTCCGGTCTGGATGAGCAGATGTTGGATGACAACTTGTGCTGAGGGCATCTGGCTTTTCACTGCTGCCAATTATAGGACTGCTCACATCAGATAAGAAAATCACTCAGTGATGCTGACAATGTGATTATCAGATGGTCTGTTTCCACTATAATTATAACTTAAATGGCAGACTTTATTTTCTGATTGCTAAAGCTACTTGGCCTTAGGCAGCTGTCTAGTTGGTGGCCTGAAACAAATGACCTTTTGTAACGCTGACCTCAATTCTGAGACTACTTAGCAATCAGAAGAGTAACTAATTTCTTTTACATAGCTATACAGTTATTTTGAGATGAGAACAAAAGATCTACTAACTAAATCCTATATGATAATCATGCAAAACATCAACAAAAGAGGAGGCAACACAAAGCCTCACCAGCTCTAATACGTGCCAGAATTACTGTTTGGATTTTAAAAGCTGGTCATCTAAAAATTAATACTAAATTAGTCTTTAGGGCTATATACTGATTATGTCATAGGGAAAAGAAAAAAGTTCTTACCAGTAACTTATCAAATAGTTTCCTTAAATTTGTTTCTAGCTTCTCCATGTCACCACAAAATGAACTCATTTCTGCCAACAATTTTAACACCTAAAACAAACAATTATTTTATTAATACTACCATTTTTCAAATGAACAACTGCTCTAAAATGTGAACAACAATAGGAAACTACTTCAGACTTCACTTATTTTCCATTATGCTATTGAAAAAGCCTTAGAGATGCAGTCCAATGTCCAGACTCTAAATGCTAGATCTCATGATTCCACTCTGGCTTGAGAAATAAGGAAAATAACACACATGACACTTTCTGCTACAGGTTAATAATGATGGTGCTAATGACAAATGACAAGCATATAAACTAAATTAGCTTGAATTATTAAAGAGACATTTGCAAATCTTAACAGCAAAGGATTATTTACTAATATTTAAAGTAGATTTCAATTGCTATTGAACTTAATCTCTAGCTATTAACTCACAACACTGGTAACTGTCAGTGAATGTTTATCCCTGCTTCATCCAGTCCCACTGTGATGAATCAACACACTACGGAAACCACAGTGTCAGCACATAGTAAGACTCGGCTGCACCCCAGAGACCGAGGTGGGAAATGGCACTTCCATTTCCACATTTCGGTCCAATTCAGCAATCGTTAAGCATTCTTTAGAATCAATCTCTGTACTAGTTCCTTGGGACAGAGATGAATCAGGTTAAATTCAAGAGAGATATAAATAACTGTGAAGTAAAACAGGTACTGTGAACCAAAAGAATGCACGTTATACTTGGTAACAGTGAATAACACTGGAGGATGAGGAATGAGGATATCCTGGGTTAGTTTAAATATGGTTCTCTAAGTTAAGCACAGAGATGCAAACTGGTGTGAATTAAACTCCTTATTTAAAAATATTAAGGCTTCAAAGGTAGAGACCGATGAAATCTATAGCGGTGCTTTCCACACTATAATTGAATCCATGATTCACTACTCGGCAGTTAGCCCTGCCTGCTCCAGATTACTGGCTCATCATTAGCAGAGATTTAAATCACTCCCTTAGAAATCAAATCTGTTAGTGGTTTTGTGAAGATACGTGAATGTCTTTTCAGTGCTAAAAGCAGGGATTTTCTCTTACCTCCAATTGTATATCAAGACCCTCAACTGGAGTAGTCAAGGTACTGAGGTTAGGGAGAACTTGTTCACAGAAATAAGTCACAAATCTTGTGGAATGGACATTTTTCTGTAAAAAAAAAAAAGAATGCAAAGCTGTTGAAAAGAAAAAGAAGTTAAGCTGTCAAGTATTATACTAGAATACTATTCAAAAGTGTTGACGAGGCATCAAGTACTGTGACTGCAAACACAAAGGCATGCTCCGTGGCCCCCAGAAATAACAACACACAAGGGACATCCTACCCTTTGGCAAAGTCACCTGGAGCACTGGGGACAGCTCCACGTCTTTGAATTCTTCCTTGATTTTCAAATCAAATTTAGGGGCCATTTTAGTGAGATTCTTAGACTTGTGCACTACTCTAAAAGGACAGATTCTTTCAACTAGCTTTTTCAAACTAAGGTACGCATATCCCAGAAGACTCATGGCCAAGAATGACAAAGCCAGAGGCAGAATGCAAAATTCTCATCACTTTAAAAAAAAGTCTGTAAGCAATTTTCTTTGAAGAAGTTTCCTGCTGTGGCTTCCCATAAAATATTCACTCCATTGTGGTAGGGATACTTCTGTGGCAAGTTTTGAGGAGAATGTCAAGTGAACATCCACACAAATGCACATAGCAAGTAAGAAATAAAAACACCATCAATGTAAAACAAAGAGCTCACAGAGAAGAGGGGCACTGCCTGTCGGGTGCACTGTAAGAGTCGGTCCACACAGTCGGGATCTGAGGGATTGAAGGTCTGCTCCAGGTCAGCCTGTTCAGCCACCAGCTCGACCAGCTGCTGTCTCCCACTCACTGTCTGTAAGCTTTTTAACCCAGATAGTATCTTCATGAACAGAACGAATTCCTCACCAGTCACATCTTCTAGGACCTGGAAACAGACAACTCAGAGTGACAGTATCTTTATTGCTTGAATGGGAAAGAAAAATCAATACCAAAAGAGTAGCAGAGTCAGTCAAGTCAGCTTGATATATATAATGCCTCTGAAACAGTGATGAAAAGACACCTTCTATTTTAGAGTAAACCATGCATTTCCCAAGGGAGCAAAAACTGGTTCTTAGAAAATTTTACCTTTTGATACACACAACACAGGCATATACATATAATGTATCTGTGGGATTGAGATTTCACATGAAATGATTTAAGAAAAAATACATAAAAAGGCTCCTTAGAGAGCCCTGGGTGTTAAAAAATGGTTGAGAAATCTGTAGCAAACTGTTAAGTCAGATTCAATTTCCTTCAATTAACTAACCTCCTTCACAATACCATGGTAATGGTACTCAAAATAGGAGAACAAGTGAGTCTTACTTTAAGTCTTCCATATTTGTGGGTCTAAAACTCTGTGTTCACTGACCAAAGGAGACTGCAGTCATGACACATTCTACTGGATCATTAGCTGGGGCAAAGATGAAATATTCTGATGTTCCCAGCAGAAGAGCTACTCCTTCTCACCAAAGAAAGAGTGTCAGTGAGTGACTGGTATTATTACAGAGAAATGCTGAATCTTCTAGACTGTATTAAAGCCAACTAATCCCCAGTACTCTAGTACTCTGAAATGAGTGAGACATTAACCGTGACACAGCTTTGTAAGTGTCTGAAACCATGCTAGATGCTTGGGTTCATACTGTGTCTTGGGGCTAGGATGAAAAAAAAAACCATCTTTTCAATGCAATCATAAATAATAATATATTTCATTCTCAAAGGATCAGAACACTATGAGAGACTAGGCAAGACTGGAGAGGAGTAGGAATTAGGGAAAGTTTCCCAAAGGAGGCGATTTATCCAGAGTCATACAAAAACATAAAACACTTTGAGGATGACACCATGAAGGATTTAAAGTGAGTCCTTTAAAAGTAGTACACTGACTCATCACTGTGACAGACTAAGTACAAAATGCAATATATAAAAACCCCGAAATCCCATGGTGGTTGTAATGGAATGTGTCATTTTAAACATAAGCCACATAGAGCACAGATGAATACTGCCAATTTCAAAGATGTTCTAATACTTTAGAGAATATCGATTAAATGCTGACTGGAGCTTACCTTTTTGGATTCAGTTAGTATAAGTTCTTCTACTTCTTTTGTTAAGACTTCATCTGGCAAAGTCTTAAGTTTTGTAGAAAGGAATTTAATTGCTCGTTCTCTAACAATGTCTTCTCCTTGAAGTATCTGGCTAAATAAGCCACCTAATGTTCCTGTGAAACAAAAGAGCTGTCTGCAGCAAGTCAGTTGTATAATGTGAAGAAATTTGTAAATTTAACTCAGTCTATATTGCTTTTCAAACAAGTTAATAAACATCCTGAATACCATCAACACTGGCTAAAGTTAGTTTGAAATTTCCACAGGCCCAATCACAAGTGATCACATGTTTTGATCCTGCATAGTCAGCTTGAGCATAATTTTTATTTTTCCATCATTTACAATAAAACCCAACTATTCTGGAAGAAGTTCTTTGAAGTAGCAAATTTTCTCCAACAGATTTCTAAGGGAAAAGTTTGATGTTTTTCCATTTTTTTAGTCAGTCACAATATCGTGAGTTAAAGAGGCTTTTATTTCAGAATACCTAGATTTTATCAACAAGATCTCTGGGTACACTCCAGACTTGATCCTTAACAAACACCACCAAGCTCCCTGAATTTTGAGACTTCCAATACAATTTATAAAAACTGTCCTGGGCTGGGGATTTAGCTCAGTGGCGCTGCACCTGTCACACAAGCAGAAGGTCCTGAGTTCAATCTGCAGTACCCACCCTCCGCCCAAAGAGTAAGAACTGGCCTTACCTTTTGCATCCATCTTAAATATACTTAATAGGGCATTGTTCACTAAGTTAAATTCTGCAGAGTCATCTGGATAGAGAAACAGTAGCACAATAAATAAAAAATAAAATATGACCTATCATCTGCTTAACTTTTCAAACTTAAGATTCAACAGTCTTTCAGATTATAGGAAACTTACACCTGAGCAATTTTCTCAAGTACAAAAATGTTCACACATTCCTCATATAGGTAGAGAACCTGATTTGGCATGGCTACTTTTTACTTTCATAAAAAAAAGACGGTACAATTATTAAATCACAGGAAATTAAGGAAAAATTATGATGCATCAAAATTCTCAGGGGAAACAAAGTCATTATGACTTAGAACAAAAAACAATACAAAAGAGTTATACAATCATAAGCCATTAAGCTTCAAACTACTAAATGAAGAAGTTTAACCTCTGTCAATGTAGGATCTTCAGCACCCTCATCTCAAGAAAACAAAGACAAAAACAAAAACTCAAAACCAAAAACAGTCTCCAATACTTCAGAGAGAGAAGTTATGTTTAGGTAAAAAAAGTAGTAATAAAATACCTTACCTGTCTGCAAGAGTTGAGTTAGTATATCTGCCACTCGGGGAAGATTTTCTCCAGTGGCAAACTGAGGCAGCTCTTTAATTGCTTGGCGTCGAATCTGGGCATGATTGCAAACACACACAATAATCAAATGCTATCATCAACAACAAACTCAGCTTTCTAAGAAAACTAAAGCCACAGAGAAACCATATGTAGGAGCATATGAGTTGCAGAAACATATAGCATAAGACTCTTAGGAGTTTAAAAATAATCTACTCTTTCAGACAGGGTCTTTCTATGCTATGTAGCCTGGCCATGCACTTCTAGGCTAACAGCAGTCCTAATGTCTCAGCCTGCTGAGTAGCTGGGACTACAGGCACGTGCTGCGAGGCCTGCTCAATTTGCTCCAATGTAATATCCAAGTTTCACAAAATAAGAAAAAGAAAACATAGCAGAAAACACTGTTAAATACTTGACTACAGCACACAGACTTGAGATTGTATACAAATGATCACATACTAACTTTTATGTGCAACTCGTTTTTATTACCATTGGGCATGTAACACATTATTTCTGAAGAATGGCTTCTGTAGCAATCTTATACTTAGGAACGGTTTTAGAATTTTTAATATTGACTGCTTAATATAGCATTTATGGTAATGATGACTTGTAGATATTCACCTTAAGTTACTAGGTTTTATATTTAAAACAAAACGTGCAGATCATGTCCAGAAAATTCTGCTAAAAATGTTAGTGATTCACTGATTCATTTGAAAAGCTTCAAGCAAACAGCTGAAAATTCATAGCAGCCAGAAATGCTAGTGGTTAACATTTTTCAAGGAGAAATGATTTTAGTTATCATATATAATTATTAGTGATAACTTATTTTTTCTGTCAAGAAAAACATATAAAGAGGTTAAGACTATAGTGAATTTCATATGTATAATGTAATACTCTAAAAGATGAAAGCCACAGCTTGTTTTTAACAGTGAATTGTGAATAATCAAAGCAAAGCATTTTGTGATTCCACACATTTTTCACAAATAAAGGTGGTGACAGCTCCTCAAGTGTAGATCTAAGCCTAGATATGGTGGAATGCCAGAGCAGACTGATCTTTTCCTGTGCAATGATATATTTCTACTTTCATCATATTTTCCACACAGAGTACGTGAAGGCTTGCTGAACAGCATTACCCACAAACTTACTGATACGTCTTCATCCTCACAGAGGTCTAACTGTGCATTGATAGCAGAATCTGCCAACTCAGGAAAATGCTTGAAGAATTTAGGAATAAACTGAGCTGCTAATCGTTTTTCCTTGGTACCACCTTTCACACCATCCAGTATCACTTGATAGGCATCTTTATGCTGAAAGAGAAGAGTGAAGCAGAAAACAAATACAATTTTGAAGAATAAAATGCTAAAGTGAAAGAAGTTTGCTTTAAATTTTTATAGAAGCTAAGAAATAAGATTAATTTTTGAAGTTTTATTGCTTAAGTTGGATACCTGTCTTTGCACTGTTTCCTTCTCCCCCAGCCCCAGCTTTATTACATGCATTTGGGAAAAATGCAAACCTGTCAACTGAGGAAGAGTGAAAGAGGTCTTGAATTTTAAGGAGAAAAAGCAAATAAACTTGCTAATACCAATATTTCCTCATTCTAGAGATCATTAACCCTGGCCTTGTGAATGTACTATGCTGCAAAATGGTAATAAATATTGCAGAAGTCTCAAAGAATTTGTTTCATTTACTTAATCATAAAAATGTACTTATTTCTAATTAGCACACCTTGAAGAAGGCAGAAGGAATATATTTCTGAAATTAAGCAATTCCAGGAAGGTTAGGAAGCGCAGCTTAATTTTGCCTGATATTTTAGTGTGTGAAAGCAGTTAACAATTTATCCTACATAGCCAGGATTTGGTTTAAGAGAGACGCTTATACCAATACTTTCAAATTTTATTTGTTTCCTTAGAACAAACAAACAAACAAAGAAACCTTAAGTGTTTTTCTCAGATACTCATAATGGGAGATTCAACAAATTTCCAATCCTTATACAACTGTCCCCTAACCAGTCCTTTATTGATTGGTGGTATGGGTTATTGAACCTAAGGATTTTACAGCTATATCCTTAGCCCTTTTATTATTATTTTCTAATTCTCTGAGCCAGAGTCTTGCTAGGCTGTCCAAGCTGGGCTCAAACTTGCAATTCTCCCGCCTCAGCCTCCAAGAGCTCTGGGATTATAGGTGTGCACCACTATGTCCAACTTCCATTCCCTTTATTATATGGCCCTGGTCAAGCTGGTAACAGTAATAAATACAGAATAAGAAACACATAATCTTTGTGTGGACTCTATGAATAAAACTTTTAATAAGTAGAAACACTTAAAGATTATAATCCATACAAGGAATGCTCGAGGTACTTTAGACACCTGAGCTGATTTCATGGCATCAGGAGGGTAATGGCAAACATCCAATGAATCATGGAATTATCAAGATTCATCTTTTAACAGTCTTCTGGGAAAATACTTTGTTGAATGAAAAAAAATAAAGCGGAATATAGGCTTTTATATCCTAAACAGAACACCACCTCTGAAATAAAGGAAATTTCTAGGACTAAGGTTAGCCTCCTCATGAAACACAGATACAGGAGTTATTAATGAAAGTGAATCATGTATTTCAGTGCAAAGGTTTAAAAACATCTATTCACACGTTCCTTTGGTTTGTCTCACAGCTTCTAAAAAGAATTTATAAGTTGGTCTTAACAGTTCTGACATCCTTCACTTTTTGCAAAATATCACAAATCTGATTTCTATAAACTTAAAGCTTTAAATTCATTTAAAGAAACACCTTACTTACTAAAATCAGATGAAAAATTCCTGCTTGCAACAAACTTTCTCTATGGGGGGAGATCAGAATTAAATAAAAAAGGAGTCACTAGCATATTTTTTGAAAGTTTACAAGGGACTAAGTCATGCCTGTCTACATGCCTCACAATAGGTTTTTCTTTTTTTGAGGGTGCACAGTCTTGATATCCAGGTTGGCCTCAAATTGTTGTGGTTCTCCTGCCACATGCTGGGATTACAGGCATGTGCCACATTCCCAGTTTACACTTTTTATTTTTCTGATGAAAAAAATCAAGGTGCATAGAAGTGAAATAATTCATCCAAGGCCACTGAATAAGGTAAGCAGTACATTCAGAACCCAAACATGGTTCTACAGGGCTCTGAAGTCTGGATCAGTGGTGGCAAACCTATGGCACATGTACTACAGTGGGTTGTTTATCACTGAAAGCTTTAGAAGGTTTGCCACCACTGGTCTAGATCTTTGTCTAATAGCAAGCTTCTTTCATTGGAATATTTCAAACTCATATTTCCAGAGCTTATTTAATGCATATTGTAAAATTAATTTTAAGACTACGTAAATTTAAAACAAAATCTAAAATAATGGTGTATCATCTCTTGCTCTAGGCGGCTGGCCATGACCCCTGAGCAAAGTAGCAAGACCTGAAGGCATAGCAGAGGCTGAGTGGGGAGAGGCAGGCCAAGTAAGTAAGAAGAACACAGAGGAACAAGAGCAAAAACGATAGATTTAATGCTTGACCTAGGACTTAGCACCTATGGTGTGCTTGTTAGAAAACACATGCATTGGTGCATGTCTATGAAGGAAACACTCCCCTCTTCATTCACTAGAGGCTACCTTGTAAGTGGTTTTTATGTGTACCTGTTCTTTTCTTGTATGCACTTTAACTTGGAGAAAGAAATGTCTACTGTAGGGCAAGGTACAGTGGAAGAGAGAAGCCAAATACAGAAATAAATGAATTTCATTTGTAACCAAAAGACTTTTATAATTTAGTAAGGGAATAACAAAAAGTCTGAAGTACCATTAATAGATACAAATATAGTGCCAAGGAGGTTTAAAGGGAGAGATCTGATCTGCTTAACGGAAATGAGCTGATGAAACCTTGGAGGAGTCGTGTTTTCCCTTGGATACTTTGACAGCAGGCTCAAAAGGCATGTTAACAACAGTGGAGTTTAGGGGGCAGCAACCTGTACAGCTGGTGTACCTATCTCTCTGGCAAGTGCTGAAAAATCAAGATAAAATTTAGAAGGAAAGTTCAAGACTAATAAACTCAAATACAGTCTCAGAGTGCTCAGACAGACACTTGCCAGGAAACTTTAACTGGGACTGTAAATGTCATAAACCAACTTGAAAATTAGGTTTTGCTACTGGGCATGGTGTGGCGCATGCCTGTAATCCCAGCACTCTGGAGGCTGAGGCAGGATCACCTGAGTTCCAGACTTGCCTGGGCTACACAATGAATTCAAGGACAGCCTGAATTACACTGTGAGACACTGTTTGAAAAAAACAAAAAAAAAAACAAGAACAATAAAATTAGTTTTTGCTACACCAAAAATGTAAACAAATATTTTTTCTCTCTTAAAATGTTTAACAGGATCCTTTACATTAAATTGCCTCTTGCTTTTGCTAGTTACTATTATAAGTAACATCCTAAAAATTACTATCTTTTTCTCTAAAAATGCTTTTTCTATTTTCTCTAAAAGGGAAGAAGTATTGCACAGTGTTGAATTAGTAGGCCTTGGAGTTTGTCTGCCTTCAATTCCGCCCAGTAATGCCCAGTACATAGCAGGTGGTCCAAAAAATGTACGGAATAAGTATTAGTGGCCCTCACTGAGATCTAGAAAAACAGGCCCTTCTTGCTTCTTTCCCGCAAACTTCTGTTTCTTGAGCATTCTTCCTAAATAGCAGGTTCTTTGCCTTGAAAAGGACATTTCTGACCTTTTGGGGGAGAGCTCTCAATTCAATGCAGTTTTTATAATTAAAGAGGACTATGTCATCTTCCACCATCTGAGCAAATCCGAGCAATCTCAGTTATTCATAATACAGGTCATGTTGGTTCTCAATTTCACACTTCGGAGTATTTTGCATTTCTGATTTGGGAAGCTCAATCCATACAAGCTATGCAAATATTCCAAAATCTGAATTCTGACAGATTTCTGTTCTCAGGCATTTCAAACAAGGGATACTCAACTTGTACACACATCACAGTTTGGCTTTCACTGTCCTTAATACACACTAAGTAGGTAGTTAGTTGTCAAATTTACTCAAGCAAAGTTGAGGGCCAAGGAGGAGACAGCACTATGTACACTGCCTCGGTTTTCTTTAGAAGATTCCCGATCCATTTCTTTTGCAAGAGCATCACTTACAAACTAGTTTAGAATCACTGGTCCTACCTCATTCCTTCTTGCTGATATATAATTAAGTCAAATTTACGAAAAGCAATTTGTTACCATCTTCCCCAGCTCAATCATAGACAAATTATACCATGACTGAAAATATCTTCACTAGTTGCTCTCTCTCTAGGAACAACAAATTCAATCTGACATTAGTTCCCCCCTATCTTGTTCTAACGGTCAGAAAATTCTTCCTTTACAACTGACTGACACACGTTATTCACATCTGCAACAGAGCGTCCGAGCTGCACACATCACTCGAGTCCCTGCTGAAGTAGAAATAAGTAGGGAAGGAAAAATGACGGAATTCCTGAAGCTGGTACAGTCTAGAGTAAGCTATAGTAAGCCCCAGCATAAGAAAAACAAGCCAAACCAAACCAAAATAAACCAATCGCTTCCCCTCAGCTCAGGAAGGTTCTACCTGAATTACACACATCCAAGAAAACGGAATGGGAATCACACTGCTATTGCTTTGCTAATGTTGTTAGCCTCTAAGATCTACTTTCTACTCTATAGGCCATGTAAACAGAAGAATCACAGAAAGGTTTTTTTAAGCACATAAAAGATCCAAGACATTAACTCCTTAAACAATCCATTTTATCTCCAGGAGAGCCTGCTTTTGTCCTCTAAGCACATATTCATCCAGCCACTTTTCCACTCACGTTCAATGTACTCCATTACTTGAAAATTCACACAAAGAATCGAGGCGAACGTGGGTAGTTCAGCAACGCTAACGGCAACGGCCTTCCTAGAGCACTTTATCCCACCTTTCCCATTTATGTACTCATCATTAGTCTCTCGCACTACAAGTTCCTACCGGGAAAGTGAAATCTTTCTGTTCACCTCCCGAGCACACAGCACAGGAGGCGCTCGGAACAGAGCAGTGAAGAAACCCTGAAACCCTCAAGACAGACCGGACAGAAGGGTTCGCCTCCCATTTTGCACAAGCGTGTGTCTCCTAAACACTTCCCAAGCCAATCGCAAACTTTTGCCTCAAAACAAAAGACAGAAAACAAAACAAATCAAAAAGAACCACATAACCTTTGACCTCTTGAGAACTTTCAGTTTCATCTTCGCAGGACTCAGCTCCACCAAAAAGGAGGAGAAAAGACCTAAGCGCAGAGAACCAAGCTGAGCCCGAAAGGGCCGCGCCGGGTCCCGCAGGGAGGAGGAGGCTGCGAGGAAGGCGCAGACGCCCGGGCTCGCGAGGTCGCGCTCCACGGGGCG